ACAACTGGTCGAGTGAGAGCTTATGGTGAACTGTCATCAGAATTGATTACCTCAAGTGGTGTTCGTCAGGGCTGTCCACTCTCTCCATTCTTGTTTAACTTTGTCGTTGACGTCCTTTTAGAGATGACACTTTCCTCATCTAAATTTCCAGGAGTTGAACTTCTACCGGGAGATCCACTTGTTAACTTAGAATATGCCGATGACATAGTTCTATTTGATGAAGACGCTGACAGAATGCAGAATCTACTAACCACTCGAAGCAACAACGCAAGCATGTTCGTCATGCGATTTTCTCCCTCGAAATGCAAGATGTTGCTTCAGGATTGGGTTGCGTCGACACCCGAACTAGTGATAGGGAGTGAAGTTGTTGAGCGTGTCGACCGCTTCACTTATCTCGGAAGTCTCATCAGCCCTTGTGGTTTGGTGTGTGACGAAATCTCAGCACGGATACAAAAGGCTCGACTAGCTTTTGCCAACTTGCGTCATTTGTGGCGTAGGCGAGATATCCGTCTATCAACCAAAGTACGTGTTTACTGCACAGCAGTTCGTTCCGTCCTACTTTATGGCAGTGAAACATGGCCGATAAGAGTAGAGGATATTCGTAGGTTACTAGTATTTGATCATAGATGTCTTCGAAACATTGCTCGTATATCCTGGGACCACCGAGTAAGTAACTCAGTTGTTATGAAACGGGTACTAGGTAAGATGGCAAATCAATTGATGAAGGAGTGAAACTTAATCAGTTGAGATGGCTGGGACATGTGTTGCGCATGCCCGACCACCGACTGCCCCGACGTGCTATGTTTTCTGGTGTAGGAGTAGGTTGGAAGAAAGCTAGGGGCGGCCAGACCAAAACATGGCAGAAATCCATGAAGTCACTGACAAGTGGACTGAGTCATGTTGGTAGGTGTAGACTACCTGGTTGGGGACCGCGAGACGATAGCAACCGATGGTTAGAGACCTTGAATGACATGGCTCAAAATCGTTTGCAATGGCGCAGGTGCATCCGCTCTTTGTGTTCTCTCAATCTCTAATCTTCTGAATTCTTCATGTCCTTTACTTTCTTCCCCAATTTATTCCACTGGACTATATTCCTCTAATAACATCATCAAACCTTCATGTCCCCTTTCTCTACTTATACTTTCAGTACCTCTACCACTATGGGATTTGAATTGAAAACTGAATCTCTGTGCTAATGTGGTATGGCAACTCGAACTGATGTACGTACGTACGAAGTTCCACGTTGTTACTGACTGACTGACTGACTGGATGAAAGATTCAGTAGACGCTCAATTTCGAGATCAACTGGCTGGATTCCGTAAAGACCGGTTGTACACAGGCCAATGAACAGCTCAGAATCAACTAGACGATTTGGACTTCACAGTCGACCGGGTTCTTCTATTTTATACACGTCATCAAATGCAGGTCAAGACAAAGTGTAGCAACAGCCTCCTTCATCAGTAGGCCTCAAAATACACAAGGGAATAGTCAAAATCCTCAGATACAAAACGGAGAACACCAACTCAGTCACACTTGATGGAGAAACTCTGTGAAAGGTGGAAACACTCACGTATCTCGGTAGCACCATCGATTAACAAGGAGGATCTGATGCAGACGTGAAGGCGAGGATTGGCAAAGCAAGGACTGCATTCCCACAGTTAAACAACTTATGAAACTCAAAACAATTGTCAACTAATATCAGTCAGAATCTTGAGTACGAACGTCAAAACAGTTAGTTGTATTGTACGGAGCTGAAACTTTCAGAAATACCACAACCATCATCAAGAAGGTACAAGTATTTATCAACAATTGTCTACGTAAGATACTGAATATCCGTTGACCGGGTACATTCATCAACAGCCTACTACGGGAGAAAATAAACTAGCTTTCAGCTGAGGAGGAAATTAGAAAAAGATGCTGGAAGTGGATCGAAGATACATTGAAGAAATCATCGAACTGTATTACGAGGCAAGTGCCGACTTGGAATCCTGAAGGGAAACGGAAGAGAGGAAGCCCAATACACACATTGCGCCGAGAATTGGAAGCAAACATGGATAGAATGAATAGCAACTAGAAAGGATTGAGCAGGACAGAGTTGGATGGAGAATGCTGGTGTGCGACCTACTCTTCTACATGAGGGGTAACAGGTGTAAGTAATCATGTTCAATATAAGTACAGAGAATATATTTCCAAAGGGATAAATAAAAATGAGGAGTGGTAATTATATAATATTATTAAATCCAAGACTTATATTGACGATGAGTGAATAGATTCGTTCGCTCTATCATCAATCTTTTAGGTCATTCACTAACTCTTGGCGTACTGCAAGTTATATATAGGTAGATGAGAGAAAGACTAGGCCAAGAAATCTTATTAGTCCATAAATTCGGTGGCTTTGACTAATTCGTGTCTGTAGGTGAATTATTTATAGTCAATATTCATGAGGGGTAACTACATTTAATGATTGTACTTAGTAAGTTTCATAACCTAAAATCAATCTTGCTTCACAATATTTCCCTCAAAGTCTTGAAGATTGTGTCATCTTCAGTCTTAGCTGGCCTGCTTCGCCTTGTTATTTCAGTTCCTTAATATCCTTGATATTATTATTTTTATTCACTTTGTTTTTTCGACACTTCCTTAGTTTGTGGGACTTCGAGGTACATGTAATGTATTTGTTCACTCACCTTGCGAGGGCACTAGAGTTTGTTGTGTGGCAGGAAACATAATCACAAATGAAAGGAAGTTGATAACCGACTTCTAGCAGTTTGATTTTTTAATAAATTAAGAATGTTCAGAATTGACGTAAGTATGTAGGCAAAATAGGTAAATTACTTAAGTTGCTAATTGTACTGATCAATGATAACTTGAACTCATGTAAGTAACATTTCAGTTCTGAAGTCGCAAGAATGTTGATTGTTAATAAAATCATTTTATTTTATTTTGCTCATTATAAGACATGAAAGATTCCAAGAGATTTTAGAAATGTTCATATATAGAATTCAGAAAAAGGTGATAATTTATTTTAGTAGGAGAGCTCCATAGTTGAAAATATATGGATCTAGAAGTGTAATTGATAGGTAACTGAATGGAACAAAATTATGGTTTTATGTTTCAATATTCTTAAACAGAAGTTTTAGGAAACTACTGTTTAATTTCACTGGATTATTAATATTCTGACTTAAGGTAGGTATACAGTGCCAGAAGATTCAAAAGTTGGCATAATCTAATATGAATGGGTCCTATTTAAGTCAGTATTTTAGGAATTTTTATCGATTCTTTCTAACTTTAATCGTCTTCATATTATATGCTAGAAAATATTGTCGATTCCTGACGTAGTACAGTATTATCAAAGCAAATACGTACTACATTTTCGATATACATTAAATTATTTCACGGTTTATTGGTTAAAAAACGTTGAACTAATTAAAATAACCGTAGAGGTTGTTTTTCATCTGTATTTTGAATTCCTAGTTTCGTGCACCAGAAATCTGCCCGTTTTTGAGACCCATATTCCTCTCACTAATTCCTGCTTATCTATCCAGTACTTTTTGCGTGTCTATGTTGATTGTAACTAACCAATGTTACTTCGTTCTATTCTTTCTAAGGTTCCATACAGACTATATATATTGAAGTGTTTTTCGCAGTAAGTCTATCTTTCCTAGTCATATTAAGTGCTATTTTGTAAAATCTAGTATTTTTATTAATAAGATTGCACTAATTTTGCTCAACTTTTAGACCTAGCTTTCAGTCTCTTACCTGTCAAACGTGAGATACATGTTTTGTAACTGAATGTCAAAGTGAATACAGACAAGTTTAACTGCCTGTTAAAACAATAGCTAAAGTTTACGCATATTCCTAAAGTCTCTCAATCACATCAGCAACTCGAATATTTGGGCATCTAAGACCAACAACATATTCCATAGTGTGGGCGAGTATGTATTTCCGATAACTTCCATCACGTTTGATCCATGGTATATCCACCGTGGAAGTCTTTAACGTCGATGTCGTGATTCAGAACCCTGTCTGTAAAGTTAGCATGTTTTGAACCACTACGACTAACAGCTGAATAAGGAGTACAGCTATAATCTGTGTAATCGTACTTTTGCAGAAAGTCTCAGCAATTAGCTAGCTGTTTTACTTTTAATCATGCTGATCGGTGCTACATATCACCGGTATGCGAAATAACTAGTGCAACTGACTTTATTACTCGACAGTGTTATCTATCGTGAGTATGAACACTTGTAATTGTTCTTGACATCACTATACTTACGTTGCATGATTATCAGTACTACTTATGGTGACAGATATAAGTAGTATGTGACATCAATTAGAAGTGGAATGCCTGCCAAAAGAAGGTCGAGAGGGTTGAACGGAAGAAAAAAGAAAGGGAAACATAAAGGAACTGAGAAATTGAAGAATCATGAGGTCTTTAAAGGACGATTGGTGGAAGATTTGCAAATGAAGTATTTAATATATGGTTCTCATGTTTTACTGAAGAGCTCTGTAATTTTGTACTAAACCATAAATTAGTTATATCCACCAAGTCTTCGTTCATCACACCACTACTACTGCATTATACAATATTTTTAAATGAATGTCCAGTGAATCTGTTCTTCCATAAAAGCCCACAACGTGTATGCTTGCAGAAATTATGATTTATCATCTAAAACCACTTTCTATTGCACTCAAGCAATCTAATATTAATTGACTGACTCGTGTTTTAGACTAAGGTTTGTTAAATGCACTATTCCATAACTCAGTCCACTTCCTTCTATCATCGTTTTTTCTGATGCAAGTAAAACTAAACAGCATTTTTGTGTTCATATTGATGGTAATATTTGTAACCCAAAAATTTAACCATCATATATTTGTGTTTCTTGTGTTTTTGCACTTGACACTAGTTTGACAATATATTTTGTTTAGGTTGTGATTCATTGCCTAAGCTCCACATTCCAAACCAACTGTTTCTAATGGCTAAGTTTTTAAAAGGCATTTATATACTTAAATTAAAGATCTTATATTACAGTCATGTATGGTTTTTTAAGATACATTACAGTCTGGTATAATAACAGAAGGTTCTCGGCTTGTTTTGTCTCGTTTATTACTGTGATGTCCACCAAGACTTAGTCGCCCTAGCTTTCTTATTAATGCTGTTCCAAATGAATTTACATTTTGAAACTTAGTATTTGTGTCCAGTGCCATGTTATTGCTTTCTTGTACATCAGAATGCCTAGGACGTTGATTGTATCCTATGTGAAGAACTGTTGCGCCCTTAGATGACGAATTCCCAAAAAGTACTGCAAACGCACTTGCTCTTCTTCTTTCATCAGCTTTACCAGACTTAGAAGGCAACAAATCAAATAAAATTCTGTTCTCTCCAGCTTCTTGATTTTGTTCCCATAGTACTTTTAAAATTTCAATCATACCGTAATTGTCACGAGCTGATGCAGTGACGACTGAACTAAAAGGTATCTGTAAGTTTTCTGCTAGGTGTTCCACATCCTCATCTTTTACCAGCCATTCACTTTCTCTAATGTCACTCTTATTGACAACTATCACTGTTATTAATTTTCTGTAGTTTTCTTGTCTTTCATCTTGAATTTCTTGCAAAATCGTCTTTATCCTGTCTAAACTTGATGAGTTATCTCTTGCACACACTAATACAAATGCGGAAGCTCTTCGTTGCCACAGTCTGTTCATTGCGGGGAAAGTGTAACTTCCTGCAGTGTCAATAAGTCTCAATCTGCATAACTTTCCCCCAACTATAAATTCTCTGACAAACGAGTCTTCAATTGTAGGTTCATATTTATCGTTCCATAAAAAATAACTTGACCCTTTGATTATTCGTTGGACTAAAGCTGTCTTCCCCACTTGGGCTTCTCCCATGAATACAACTTCTGCATGCGGTTGCTCTTGATCATCCATTGGAAGTAGTTCCTAAGAATAAAAATAGTATATTATCATCAATTGCATTTGTATGAATATGGTTTAAACTCGGGATCACCTTTCTAAATTAAAGCAAAATTAATTGGGGCTCAAAGATATATATATATATATATATATATATATATATAAACCAAAATAAAAATTCAACCATTAAACAAATCAATGTCTGAGAGGTAAACATTATTTCTGAGTATAACATTGCTAAACACAATAGATTATGGTTTATCAGTTAGTGTCTTTACCTGTTTCTTGATCTGCTGATTAAAAGAATGAAGAACATATCCTGATCTCTCTGTTCACTAGTGATGTTTAATAGATTGATTAAAAAGCAGTATCATTAGTCGTCATAGATTTTTTGTATTTTCGTTCACTAGTACATTGTCTTTGACTCCTATTTCTGATTCAAAAACTCCTACTTAATTGTCAAGTTTTGTCATTCATTCATTCGTGTGTACAAGTACATCGCTTTGGCTCATAAAATTTTGTAAATTTTATTTTATGTTTAAAGATAGACTAAATATTAATTTGAGTTCATTTTTTGGTTTAATAAGTTTTGAGTTGTGTTCATAGCTAATTTCACTCTTTTTTTGGTATGGTGTTTTGGTTTACGTAGCCATACTGTTATCCTCCCCAAAACATTTTTTTGTTCACTTGATCCATATTTAAAACTTATGTTCTCACAAGTATTAAAAACATAAATACTAATAATATGTGGAAATTATATTTGAAGTAATCTCAGCGATTGAAATTTAAATAATTCCAACGTTTCGTCCAGCAAACTTGTCTGGACTTCTTCAGGGTAAATACTAATAATTCGTAGAATTCTCGTTTACATTCATTGAACTTATCAATTGGGGAGAAATAACATAGTACTGATGAAAGTTTGTAAATTTGCTGATTCGTTTGCAAAAGTGAATTTGTTCAAAACCTATTGCTCTTGTGTGTTGAATGAATTAGTCAGTATGAATATATAAATGTTTATAACCACCCCACACCAAAACATCTAGTAAGCTACGAACCCTATCAACTTCCAGGATCACTATACTCTTGACTATTTGATAAGTATTTATTAAGATTACAGCTTTGATGTAATGTTTGTAATTTGGGTTTGTAAACCATTAAATTCACGGAATAATAGAATGAAATTCCGAAAGAGGTTGAATTTTTCGATCGTCCACTACGTCATTGTGTTAATAATCGTCCATATTATTGCAACGAATCCCAAGCTGAATGAAATTCCTACTAATGGAAATACGGTTATCTATCTAGAAAGTGTTATTTGTCTTCTTAACGTTCATCAAAACATTTACTAGACAATGGTTTTACGTAATTGCATCAGTTTAAAACATTAGACTCAACTGTAAATTTAAAATAGTCCTCATAGCTTTTCTTTGTTTCGGTTGGATCCTTAGGTTAACAGTTTTTAACCAAATTCACTTTGTTAGTGTAATTACCTAAAATTTGCTTTATTGTTCTTAAAATCCAATATTAAGACAGTCGAATATGATTCGTAAATGAAACTTGAAGTTGCTTAGTGCAAATCACATTTTATTTAATATCAATATTTTCAGCAACGCTTGTATTCTGTGAAACTAAAATGAAAGCAGTGAAGTTGTGTGACGAATGCAGTTATCTTATATCTTATCCACTGTTCTTGTTGCTTCGAATTACCAGTGGTTATATAAACTTCGTTTACTGTTACTTGATCTAATAATCAAATAAATTTTTTTTTGACCTAAAGAGTGAAGGCATTATCGTGTAACTACGATAATGTATGGACTAATAATTTAGTGATACAATAACTTAATTGCATGTACTCTGCACTTCTCAAGTCCGATGACCCTTATCTATACTTTTTCTTCTTTCTGAACCTTCGTTACAGTATAACACATCTGTATAGTCATGGCTACTTATGAAACCAGTGGAGACAAGGTTTGTCTTTGTATAGTGATAAGACAGTAATATCTACTGGTATTATTCCCATGTATTCTACCTTAAAGTTCAGAGGCTTTTGTCATAGTTGGTTACAATTTTTAATTGGTAAGGTTATCATAAAATAATAGGTTCTCTGACTTGAATATGTTTTTGTCATGTATTTTTAATGACTTCCGTACCTCTGAAACAGTTTAGTCGAGCTCCAAACATTGTTTTTTGTAAATTATTTATTTTGATAATGTTCTGTATAGTTCAGTATACTGTTATCTGGTGAATTCCAACTTTACTTTTAATTCTTTTCAATTCTTATAATAGATAAACAATACAAGGCACGTTACTTAAATTTAGTGTATCACATTAAACAGAAATCCATAGTGTAGAAAGACCATTCGGCAGTTAGTATTCATTATTCATTCATAAAACGTCTCATGATGATAGTAGTTACATGATGTCGTTTTCATGTTATGATTCTTAAAACTGGAGTTTAATATCAATTTTTTTGTCTGACTTCTTCAAAATGATGAGTTTCTTATTACTTCAGTTTCATTTTGCGGGTATTTATTTATTTATTTTATTTTAACACATAAGTATAGGTACAGGGAGGCACCAAATACATATGCGCCACACGAATCTCAATTGATTTGTGTGAGGGCTGTGATACTGCTCGGGTGCCCAAACCGAAGCAGGTGGTTTTCTTAGGGGGCCACACCCCGAGCCTTCGACCTGGACGTCTGACCCACAAGGCAGTGGAGCATCGTGAGGAGATGCAGTCCCATGGTAGCCGGTGACCAACGATTGGTTCATAAGCCATTTGTTCTCGCAGGATACTGGAGCCCATGTGCACCATTGGTTTGGGATCCGGTTATAGCGCCGGACATTCGCTTTTCGTCCTCTTATTTTTGTAAACAACACCCCCGCCACGAGAAGGCAGTGAGTAGGACTTCCCTGGCAGAGGCTATATACGTATGGCCATGTGAGAGCATTTCGAGAGGGAGAGCGGACTCTCCCTACTCTCGGCCGTACCAGGGCATTTGGGGGCAAAGTTGCGGGTATAGCTATAGTAGTAATAATAATTTTTATTATTATTAGTTAATTGGACATTTGAAGGGCAAATGTTTTAGTATTTAACGAAACTCACTGTCATCCCAGTTCTCCGAATAATTTGAATCGACAAGATAGTGTCCACTTGGTTGTCGACTGTGGGATTATAAATGAAAATAACTTTAATTCACTTACTGTTTTGCGGCTTAAGGACCTCTGACGTCTAAAAAAGCCTGCATTTAATTAACGAATTATTTAATTAAGCGTTATTTTAGTTGTCTCTGACTCCAGGAGTTGATTCGACTCCATTAACAAGTGCACCGTCGTCCTCATCTTCATCATTGTCTTCATTTAGAGCAATTGCCCCAAAATCAAATCAGGATCACACAGTGATTATCACTTCTGAGGTGGTCAAACGTAATGAATCTAGTGAAGATTTTGTTCACTATTGTGATATTGAATCAAGTAGTCAGGATTTCAACCCTCTTAGAAACTATCGTTCAATATATGCTATTAACGTCGTCCCTCGTAGTTATTTGAGAGTTACGTACAAACGTGTTCTCTTGCCGTCTCATACAATTCCTCGAACTCCTGTTAATTCTGATACGCTTCCATCTGGACCATCCAGTTCTGGCTTTAATGTCAATAAGAAAGGGAGTCTTCGTCCAGTGGTTAAGTTTCTACTTCGTATAGGTAAGTTGGATATTGAGGTTCCATGGAGTTGATATGTTGCACCATGTAACATTTTGAATGTGTTTAATATCAAAATTTAATCAATACAACTCGATATTTAGATGCATATTCAGATAATAAAAATTTAAGCATGTCCATTGAAAGGGCTACCCGACCGTAGCTGCTACCTTGACGTGGTGGTCGGGCTTGCCTATCGTGATGACCCAACCGAGTTATATTGGCTGGAACACATGTTCCTGCAGGTTCTACCATGCCAGGCAGGTCGATTGGAGAACGGTAAGACTAAAAGCAGCAACTCAAGGTCTGAGGGCGAAGTCGTACTGCTGACTGTACAGAGGTGTGACAGCAGTAAGGTGTTTCCCTCGGACAACCAGCATCTGCAGCGATGCTGCCTTCTCACAAGGAAGGAAGGGGTTAGAAAAGGTTGACCCTAAAAATGTCACACCTCATCTTACCCCACGGATTTCCGTCTCCGGCGGTAAGGCCCTTTGAAGAACGGAGCTAACACATTAAAAACCTCCCACAAAAAGGCCGTGCGCGGCCGGCCTCAAGCAGTTGTCCCTTGGGCTCTGCGGTCACTCACTCAGGTCGCTAAGACCAACACTAATCCGATTTCCTTTTCAGGTCCCTCAAGAAATACCCTTCTACGGTATGGGAAACCGGGAAGTGATATCAGCCCTCATACCCGTAACAGCACACGAGACCAAGTTGGTCACATTCAAATCCTTCCTACACCTCCTAATAACTCTCTTATCTCCACGACTAACCCTTCTCACGTCCCTTTATCACCTCGCCCCGCTAGTGCGAACGATTCGAGTACGCGGAATGTTATTCCTGGTCTCCTGAAACCACGCTCTAAACTACACGTAGGAGCTTTCAACGTCCGAACACTGTGCCAAATAGGACAACAGGCTTCCTTAGCTAAGACTTTGGAATCTCGCTCCATCGATGTGTGCTGCGTCTCCGAAACGCGCACACAGGATCCTAGTAGTGTCATTCATTTGACTGCACCATGTCAAAGTAACGAACCAACTCGATTTACGCTTCGTGTATCTGGAAGCCCTGATGCTGCTTCCCGTGGCCTCGCTGGCGTAGGTATAGCATTGAGTCCTAGAGCAGAACTAGCCCTCTTAGACTGGATCCCAGTAGACAGTCGTTTGTGTGCTGTCCGACTAAACGGAACAGTAAGGACTCGAAAAGATAGGGACACTCGTCGTTGCCTCTTCGTCGTCTCTGCCTACTCTCCCACTGACTGCAGCTCAGATGATGTAAAAGATGAGTTTTACAGAAAGCTTTCCGACCTTCTCCGAAAAGCTAGGCGT